TCAGTTATCATTATTGTAATAATTATTATAATATGTAACTGACAAATAACTGAAAACCAAATGATAAATTTTTAACACAAAATGTGCCTTACATATGAGTTTCGCTGAAAACAATAATTATAAACACATAGTTGATGATCTATCAATCACATCACTTCCCACTTTAGATTAATGAATAATGATCGAGCGAAGTATTGCGAAAGTGGAGGCTCCACACCGTCCTCTTAAAACCCAATCGCGATAATATTATTTTAATAAATACGGCGAAAGTATTTTCGAATACTCTTTTCTAAAACAGAAAATAAGGAAATTTAATTTAATTTATTCTTGCTCGCTTTTCATCGATTTAATATACCTCCAAACCATTATCACTGAGAAAAAAAATGCTGTTTACATTTCGAAGTAATTATACATAACTATATATTTTTTTTATTGTACTTAGGCCCGGCGACCAAGGCCATTAGCTGTTGTAGGGGTTATGAACTGTGTTAGGGGTAAGGTTGGTGCGGTAGGTTTTGGATCTGTAGGGGTTATAGGGAACACGTGTGTGTTTGTTTTTGCCAACATTTCTAGTGGGCACCCTTTGGGTTTTTGACATGCCCGGGTGGGGGATGTCGGTCACTCTCTCCAGATACCGTGACTGCCCGGAGAGAAGTGCCGCCCGTGACCGAGGTTCGAACCGGCGAACATAGCTATTATTATATGATGACTGTAAAAAACCCATCGCATTTTGTATGAAATTCGGGGTACTGACCTATATATTTTACAATTATTGGCAGTGAAAAATATAATTACAACAAAATAAAACCGTTATTTGTGACGAAATAGAGAAAGTTATGAAATGGGTCGTTTAAGATGGACTCAGACGATAGACCTATTGATATACCTAGACCGAAAACGGACCGATGGCGGGTATTGATGTTATTGGAAAATGTATGTCATAATATTATCGTGTCGGCTCTTGGTGGGTATTTTAATATATATATAGCGCACATTGCATATGGCATGCTTTTGAATTTTTTAATCATTTTTTACGCCATACGTTTACTGTCGAAACTTGAAACCCACTCATATCCGGCGAGTCCTTTAACAATGTTTTGTTCGTATAGTTATGTATTCGATTTCAAATATACATATTTACAGAGGAAAGAGTTTGATTTCCAAACATGGTGACTTTTTTTAAATATTAACTATCACCCTAAGCGCCGTTTATTGTCGAGACTTGAAACCCACACGTATATCAAGTGAGCCTTTTATCAATGTTTTATTTATAGTTTTGTATTCGATTTAAAATATATATTTTTACAGCGGAAATAGTTTGATTTTCAAGCATGGTGACTTTTTATGAATATCGATTAATTTTCTATGTGCCAACTAAAAAAATATAAATGTTTAACTTCGATTTGCATAATATAACTGGCATAATCATAGACACAGTCAGCTACCGATTATTTTTTTTCAAACATATATTTAAAAAAGTAAAAATTAAGGCTTCAGTTACATGGATTATTAGCCTATATAGTGTAATTTAAAAACTAAATGTACCTATACAATATTAGAAAAAAGAGAACATAATAACTATGCCTTATACAGCTGAAGGTGTAATTAACCAATTGTTTATGTTCTTTTTTCCCCCTTGTTATCGAGATACGAGGGAAGAACTGATGTTGGCATCGCTTCTACTCCGGTCCCCATCGTTTATTGTGCAAAAGAAAAAAAAGTAGTTTTACAGCAAAGTTATCCTGGGATGCGCCCTTCTTCGCTACCAAGTGGACTTTCCCCATCGCTAGGTACGTGTCCACCTGGGAGCGGAGATCGGTGGGCTAGCATTCAATCAATTGTTTATCTAAACCGATTGGTTTTAAAAAATTGAAAATATTTGAGGCGTTGTTTTGATTGAGTGCTCCTCCGAGTGTCGAAGCAATAAAGATTACTCGAGGATTCAAATTTGGGTTTTATATATTAGATGTAGTACAGTTTGAACGTTAATCAAAATATTGTTCTCCGACTGGTGCAAAAATTGGAACTTATCAGATGGGAGTTTCCGTTTTTGATGTGCAATACAATTATTTGCTTCGGCAGCATATATTATAACGACCATAATAATTGATTTGGATGTTTTGGAGGCGGTGTACAAAGTGCAAATTTGCTGCCAAAAACGTGTACGAACGGAAATACAATCGTTGGCGTAATTTTGTAGTCGGTCTATCAGTAAATAGAAAGCGACTATAACTTACTGCCAATTCTCAGAATAATTAAATTTGATCTGTTCGGGGTGTTGTGTATATAATAAGTTACTTCGACATTCGTGCAATACACACACGGTAAGCCAATATTATTTGCATAATTTATTTCGAGTGTCTATTTGGAAGAATCGTGACCGGAAGCGCGACTTAACGATTTTTGCAAAATTAAAAATATTACACACTTAAATTACCCTACTATTTCATTTTGTTCAACTTCTTTTGTACTGTTGTATCAGTATTTATTTTTTGTGAAAATAATATAACAACATAAAATAAATGGTGTGATACTGTATAATATAATAATGAGAGAAATAATTATTATGATCATTATTAGCGAACGTTGTGCGAGTCAAAATAATGCAATAACCACGTACTACATATTATTCCAACAATAGAATAGTTGCGACGATTGTATTAAAATTCATATTTTGTTAGAGATGATCGTTACGATATGTATTGCTGTACTATGTTATTAAATCAGGCGATGAACTTTTTGGGGCTCCCTTAAAGTGTGCGCCAGGGGCACTGGCCCCCTTGCTCCCTCCCTCTAAAAGCACGCCTTTGAAGTCAAAACTCACCTTAATATAGTGTAAAATATTATTTGCAAATGAACACGATTCGCCGCCTAACTTCTCTTAAATGTGCTGTAACATAGTTTCGAGTTTTTGACTAAAATATAGGTACCGCCTCCATGACTGCACAACTCGATAATTTTGATCGTCGTTTATTTTTATTTTCAGTCTTGAGACACGAGCTGAAGAGAGAAATATTTTGATTTTAAATACATTCATAATAATCGTTTCACTTAAATTTATCTTTATAAAAATATTTCACGTTTAACTATAATATCGCAATGCTTACTACAGAGTGGTCCAACCCGCAGCCCTCTCCCCACCCCAAGGCCGTTTTGGAGGAGTGCGACAGCAAACACCGTGGCACGAGATATTTATAACTTATATATTAGATTATTGTAATATATTTGTTATAAAATAAAATACGAGCAAAAAAAAATTTTTTCTTTTGGCCCCCCCCCCCCCCGCCCTAGTGTTTATATAATACATGAAAATAGTCAACTACAAAATGTTGGACCACCCATACCTACCTGATACTGCGGTACACGGTAACCTACTCTGTTGTATGCAATTGAAAATTTAAGTGATTCCTGTTATCAAATATTTTTGAAATTTCTTTAGTTAGCGTCAGTCGGATTCACAGGCCGTTGAGACAAAAAAGCATAATGGGAGTGGCTTACTCGACACTAATGGTCCAATCAGACGATCAGATTTTGTAGAAGGGTTCCTCCTAACTCGATAAGGAGCCGAGGAATTGGGTCATTAGAAAAAAAAACCACTACATTATAGTACATATGTTCATTAAACACTTGTCGGGGGACAACCCCCCCCCCCCTCGTGGCTACAGGCCTGTGAAAACGTCTATTTACCGTACAAACTAACTTTACATATATATATATGAAAAAACCAGACTGCAGAAGCTGGCCTACAAAATCCGATCGTCTGTTAGGGTTTCTGTGGTAATAAATAATAATCAATATTGTTTGCCTTATCTTTGCACATTCATTTATAAAAAAATAATTTCAATTGAAAATTTTATTTTTCAATCACTAACTTAATATTTGACCTTGGTGGACCTTTTTGCTCATACTTTCTGCTGTAACAAAGTCTCACTTCACCCGCGCGTGCTAGTGCAACACGCACAATATTTTTAATTGTATTATTTGTAAAAACTACCAGCCGCGATAAAAAATGTAAGTAAAAAATATAAGTCTACTTAATTGTTAATTCTTATATGATTGAGAACTATAAATTATAACAACATTTTGGCCAGCTTACAGTATAATTATCAAGAACGATACGTAGAATGTTACAAATGAGTGTACCTACGTTTTAATAGTTTCTACGGTTTGTTTTATATAGATTCGCTTTTGTGACAAAGTCGATCTCATCAAATATTATTATGTCTTTGGCACAATATTTTTTTTTTTTGTGTACATACATCCTGTCGTATAACAGGAAACTGTAGTGGAAGTGAGTTTAAAGTGGCTATTTATTTTCAATCAAATTTTGTTTGTTCCACCTACATAATATGAGTACCTACAAAATGCGGAGCTACAATAACACACAGCTAGGTCACTTACCATTAAGGACATTTCGATTTTCGAATGTATACCATTACAATATTGTGCAATACAATAGAAGATTTCAACATTTTCATAATGGAATCCTTCACACAACACCCCCCGCAGGTGTGCAGTGAAAACATATATCTTTTGGCAATAAACGAGTCTTGAAAACGCCAAAGGTGTGCTTATTTTCGTATTACACGTAGGTTGGTGTTTAATTTCTTAGCTATAAAACTGTATTTTGTCGATAATTCAGCATTTCATCAGGATAAAATATTGAAAAACATACCATTATAGCACGGTACTCGATAGTTGTTCTCTACGAGGAAAATCTATGAATTATAATTATTAATATGTTTTTGGAAACATGATGACGAAAATCCTACGACAAATCAGTAGGAAACTAAAAAAACGGGTATCCAGTCCAAAAACACGTTATTTATGTTAAACGTTTTATCATTTTATATATATATATATATATTGTACAACAATATATACTCAATGGTATTATCATGTGTTTTCAATAAAAAAAGCATCGATGTAACATCTAAACAAACTGCAATTTATTAACATTATGTTTAGCAATAATTACAATTATTTAGTTCTCAGTCTCAAAAATGTGTGTATTTTACAAGATATTGACAATATTTTATGTGAAAAAAAAAACAATTATCAATACATTATTTAGTTCACGCAAAGTGCGTCTTATTCTAAACAAAACAAAAAAAAAAAAATATTAATATTAACGCTTATTTATGTAATAACTCATAATATTATTGGCGAAAATAAAATGTATAAAAAATGAGACGCATTTAAAAATGCGAAACTCGACATCTGCTATAATAGAATAATAGCAATACATGTAGGTATTTTCTCGATCCTAATTTTTAGTTCCCGGTTGAGTTTTTTAATTGTAAATAATATTTATCTATTGTTATTATAATACAGTACATTATATTTTTTTTCATACTCATTTTCCCAGTTTAAATTACATTTTTCAAAAAACAATTATGATTTAAACATTACAAAAACACATATTATAATACATTATTGCTATCGAGCAAGTTCAATAACGCCGGCATATTATTAGCTTTGTACGAATTTATGGCCTGGATGAATAGAGGAAAATCCAAGGTTTTAATATAGTCTAACTTTATATTAACGCTTATAAACTATTATAATATAGACTTCAATAAATATATATATTTATTTTTGTAGCACATCGAAATCCGTTCACAAGGACACCCACCCCCGGCCCATTTGAAATAATATAAAATATAAAAAAGATTGTGAACGTTTTTCTTTTTTTTTGTAAAATGTGAAACATAAAAACAGGTGTGATCTCTTTTGTCGTAAAACATGAAATAGTGTCACTCTAAATTCTACCTAAAGACTGCATTTGTACTACAGGTGTGTAATTGCGCACACGCATACGCCGTATTTGATTAAATCAGAGTTTTGCAAAGACGTATCTATCGTGACATCATCTATGGACGGATTGAAGGAAAAATATTTGAAGATGTGCCTACGCCATGCATTTTTTTTTTTTTTAATAAAAGTTAATAATATAATACAACGGGAACGAGTGATAGAGTGGTATTTGGAAACGAATCGAATCGACTAAAACCGTAATAATAACATGTGACGGGTACAAAAAAAAATATATTTATATTATACTAAAACGTTGTGTACAGGAAAACATTCGATTTAAGCCTTTAAAAACGAGTAAAACAGTGTACAAAATCAAGTGGATCAAATTATGTTAAACTATATAATATAATATACATACAAGTAAGTAATAAGTTTGGGAAAAACCGACGATAGTGACCCGCACGGGCGCAATTTGAGTGACTTGGGAGCGATTAGCACCCCCAGTTTTGAAAACAGCACCCTCGCGTCGTTTTTGGACTAACCGGAAAAATAAGAGGCTTCAGCACTACCAGATTTTTTATTGAAACTGTGCCTCCACTGGTGGCCCGAAACGTACTGTCGTCGTACCGCCGTTGTGCCGTCATCGTCGTCGTTGTCCACTAACTGCTGTTGCTGCGGCCACAGCGGCGGCGGCGAGCCGAAATCAGCGTAACACGTACGCTTGGCCGCTGTGGACGAGGGACCGGCCGCGGTTCTGCTGCCGCCGTCGGCCGCCGAGGACGTCCTGCCGAGCTGTTCGTGTAGGGCCAAGATATAAGTCTGGGCCATCTGGAGCGTTTCGTATTTGGACAGCTTGCGCTCGTCGTCGGCGGCCGGCACGACGCCCCGGAGCCGGTCGAACGCTTCGTTCAAGCCGTTCATGCGGCGCCTCTCGCGCGCGTTCGCCGCCAACCGTCGGCGCTTCCTGCTACCCGCCGCGTCGACCATCGCACCGCCGCCGCCGACGCTGACGCCGCCGAAACTCTTATCGCTACCTCCGCTCGCCGACGCCGTCGACCGACGATCAGCCGACTGTTCCTCCGCGACGGCGGCCGCGCAACCGTAACCACTGTCGTCGTACCACTGCAGACTCGCGGCGGCTCCGCCGAATGGGTCGTCGAACGCGTCGCAATAGTGTTGCAACTGATACGCGATGTCTGGGGTTCTCAACATGACGTCCGATCGGATCGCACCGTTTTTACGCCGTCGACAACAACGCGATGGTGATAATGACGAGTACACCGCGATGCGTACACTGCGACCGGCTCGAACCGTTTACCCGAAAACCGGTGCGCGGTCTCCGTTATATATACAGGTAACCGCGCGGTAATCGTCCGCCCTGACGCTGGGGGCGGATCCCTCGACGGTTCAGGAACAGCAACCGGATCGCACGGCCACCGGCGATATTATTGCTATATTATTGTACAAGTGCAACGATAATAATATACACAGTGAATAGTCGTTCACCGAGCACACGCTCACCCTCTTCGCGTGCATTTATTAATGAATTTATTGAATTTATGGTTTTTGGAATTTTTAAAAATGTCTTACTCGAACACCATATTTTCAAGTTATCGAGATATTTCTGTACTACTGGGAGCGTTCTGCGGCGGTTTAAACACTTATGTTGTTAAACGAAAACAACCCATTTTTACTGTAATTTAATTATAGTTGATACGTCGTGATTTGAACATTTTTTTGTACCTAATTTATTAAAATCGGTAAGTGTAGTTTTTCAGTTATTTAAAAATCAGATTTTGGAACAACTATTGAAGTGTACTGAATCGCCCTGTATAATAATACGGGCGATCGCGCGCCGCCGATCTTCTCTTTTCGCGGGGGATGAAGATCGGCGGGGGGTGCCGATTTTAGTGGTTTTTTAGCAGCGGCGGCGGCGACCGTCTTTCTCTCGCCGTGTCCTTGTCGTACCTATACACCGCCTACCTGTATATTATTTTGATATATATCAATCTGAATGTATACGCCCGACTCTGCCCCCCGATATACATAATAATAATAATAATAATCACATATATATATATTTATTATACAATCGCGTGAGTGTGAGATAGACAATAAATCGTTTAATTTTGATTCTATTCGGGGCCCGACCGATTTGCGCCTTCTTTATTGCACTCGCCCCTAATAACAACCACCTACCTAGTTTTTTTATTTTTTTATCGTCTAATCACACCGCCTTCGTCGTAAATATTGGGTATTTCATTCCGCAGACCATCATAAAGTATACTATTATTAAACTGCAGTTTTCAAACGTGCGTACAATTATATTGCAATAATTAGCTGTCCCCCCTGATTTTTCCAGCGTCAAAGATTTGTATTTCAAATAAATATAATATTAGTAAAAAAATATATTTATGCAATATTTCATCTAATTTATTATTGACATGGTAGGTAATATAATATATCGCACTTCAAAAGTAGTTCAAAATACCCTCTAAACTTTTCTGATATCTCTAAGAACAATTTGAAATTTTCTCAAAATCGGTTAGGCAGTTTTTGAGTACTTACCTACATAAGTTGCAAACATACATTAAACTTTCATGTTAGTTTTAATGTGTAATTTTTTATTGGAAAACATAAACGAGACGATTTTAAACATGATTTTACCTCACCAACCGGAGAAACCAATGACAACCATTAAAAATAAAATAAATAAAGTTCAAAAAAAAAACCTAATTTCTCCCATTACTATTATAATCTGTGTGTTGTGACCAAATGTAAAAAAATATACTAACATTTTAAATTTAAAAAAAGTTATCGATTAAATCTCAAAAACTGTTTGAGTCCATCTCCGGGTCGGACCTACCCGGGGGTGCAATAAATTGGCAATCTAATCCATCCAGGAACCCACTCAAATTCACACAAAAATTTGCATCAAAATCATAGCTCCAGCTACTGTTTAGGAGGGGTTCAGCGAGGTTCAGAAGAATATTATTTATACATTTTACGGACAATAATACAATTGTTGTTGTCGTCATATTCGTGAAATAGCCGAGGTCCAGCAGCCACAATTAAATAGCATTAATTGAACTGAATGCCAATCGTTCGTTTTGCATAGACCATGATCAATATTCCATTTTCGACCATTATTGTTACTGCAGAAGCGTATAAATAGTAGGCACCTACGTGAAATCAGAAATGGCCACCGTATTGCCCACGTTTCCGACGATTAGCACAAATCGCGTTATAGTAGTAGAATTATTTAATGGAAATATAGATGATAACTTCATAATTGTGAATTGTGTGATAACGTTGTTTTCACGGTGACAAAAATCAATCGAAATTGTTTCCTTTTCCTCTTTTTGGGGAAATCGTATACCCGCAATGTCCATGAATATTCACATACGTCATATTGTTATTATTATGTAAACGAATTTTGAAAAAAAAAAAGCACGGAATAACCTAACCAGATCGATAACCAATTACTTATACAAAATATAGTGCAACCCGTTCAGATAAATATATTATATTATATTATATATTATTATCGTTTGAAAACATTAATTGTTATCTTATCATAGTTTTTAATTATCTATTTAAAAAAAAACACTGCACACTACAAGGAAAACCTATTACTCATAAATATGTTTTTATCAATAAGTAGTCATGACAACAAAACATTCACAAAAAATCAGTCGAAAACAAAAAATGTTGTATTTGGCCAAAACATAGGCCACCTTGTTAAAAAAATACATAATCACAACTCCTCCATCATTGTTATATACTGTAATCTATAAAAAGTCAAGACATCAGCAGTTGGTTACCGACATGACCCTTCCGAAGTCCCTCCCCCGCCATTTTTGGCATAGAAATTCGATCAAAGTATACTGCCAATATTATAAACAACTTTCAGCAGTCAGTATTAAAATGTTCAATCGACGCTTTCATGGTAGCAAAAATCAAAGTTTAAAACTGGCGTCGCCTCGATATATCACCTCCCGACTTTGAGCGTACCACCAAATTCGGAGTTGTATACCGTGATTGCATCCAACTTGAACAATTTTCAAATCAATTCACGCCGGTGCGTCATCATTGTGGGGTTGCAGCGTGCACTACCTCGACATGATTACAAAAATAGTTCATATTTGTTCACGATAGTGTGCTTCATAGGTATTAAAACTTTGCTAAACTTTATTCTTAGTCCACCGAATAATAATACGTTTTCATCACAATTTACGCAAGAGATATAATACATATACTAAAATCATCGATATGAATAATGCAAAGCGACGATAGAAAAAAACCATAGTACAAATGTTTATTTATCACGTGAGACATATTAATTTGACTCTAATGTCTTACTTGGATTTTCCAACCTCAAACCACATCATACATTATTATATGCCCAAAAACGATGAATTTAATTTAAATAATATGCTTCATTAAGTTATAACTAGTTATATAGTTCTACGCTTACAGCTCATACCTGAGCTTAGAGTCATAATAATAATAAAATATGAAATGTTCAACATTTCCAGGATGAACCTGTGAATTGAATATCTTCGACTCAATATGTGCATCCTTTACCTTTACCCGATTGCAAATCTTCAGGAAGCTGGTGGTGCACTTAGCCGTGAATATGTAAGCATGATTAAAATTGTTTAGGTTTTTCACACTATACCATAATAATATGAGTACATTACACAGGCACCCCTGAACTCGATTGCATCGAAAATGGTCGTCAATCGGGCGGTAACACGAAGAACGCGACACACATGCTCACTATTTTTTATTTCGGAAATATATTTCGTTTAAATTAATAACGACATGGAACTTTTCTACAATGTATGATAATTATTTGAGCCATTAGTTACATGGTTATTAGTCGGTGATTACGTCCAACAATCGTATTCTCATTGAACCGTCCAAAATATATAAATAATCAAACAAACTCCAACGAAAGTAATAAAACAAATAAAATATTCACAAATGTCTTATGTACTGTGGGCTACATATTTTAAAATATGAGTCATATATTTCTATTTTTTATTGTATTCTTGGCATGTTTTTTTAGGGTTTATTGTAATTTTACAGACATTTTTTTTTTGTTTGTTGATATCCCCAGGGAAGTCAGTGAGTACCATTTTTGGTTCTCCAAAAGCAACATTTAACCGTATATTAGATATTAATACTGACACACGCGGGGTCGGTGATGACCCACTGACCTCGAAAGCCAACCGTTCTACCCGGGAGTTTAGTCGTTTGTTTTATTAGACACGCGTTTGGTCATTATTTTCTAAAGGAACCTAACTCAATGTGAAAAATATGCAGTCATATTATACATATTTTGTAATAGCTATAAACCAACGTCTTATCATCAAACCCATAAATATTCAATTGTGTCTAAAAAAAAACCTCCAAACATTGATAGATGTATTTTTTTACAGAGTATAAACCTATATAATTCTTTTGACAAATTATTATTTCTTATATAGTTATAATTTATTTGTTTTATTGATATTAATACACATCACACATTTTATTTTTAAATATTTGAAAATTTCAAACAAAATAAGAAAATCAGTAAAATGTTATTTGTGTATTTTTATGATCAAAGTGTTATTTAATAATCTAAAAAGTTGTGATATCTGAAAATTAACCTCCTTTCGTCTATAATTATCGGAGCAATATTTTACTTCACTGAACTAATAGTCATGTACACACAAGTACTACTTATTTATTTTATATTTAATTAGTTTTCATTAAGGGCTAAGACCTTTAATTATAACGTTTAATATTTTAGTCAGGATCAAAAGGCAATATCGAGGTCGACTACGTAATAGAAAATTGCTTAGGTCCGTAGGTGGATAATTATATAGAAGTTTAGTAGCTGTAACAATCGTAGCGAATCGCCTGCAATGATATTATGTATATTATTATACTATGTGAGTATACTTGAATACTTGAGAGAATTGGAAGAAAAATAATTATTTTACTTATCCGTATTTTTTAAGTGCGACATATAGTCAAAACACCCTATTGTACGACGCACGTCCATCAGTATGTTCGATTTAGTTAGGCGATAAATATGATAAAAACAAATTTAAATTCAGCTCAAAGAGTACACGGTCATGCTACATTTTTCAATTTAATTTAAGTTATTAAAAAAAAAAAAAATGTGTATACACAATTTATGAAGGAAAAGTAGCCTGATCGTATCACTTACGTAACGCTTCGCGCGTGCTGAAACCAAATCTGTTCGTACAATATTTATCACTTCACTGCATTGACCGTAAACTGATAGACTCGGGATGAGTAGTTTTTGCCAACTATTGCAACTTGCAAGTGTGAAAGACACAGACGACAAATATTATATCGATACCAAATATCCTCGAGGGATTTCTGAATAATAACTTAGTATTAATAATATGATTGTTGAATTGGTGATAGTTCCATGAACGGTTCATAATATTTGTATGAATTATGTTGTCACTATAATAGTTATCAACGTCGGACGAGCA